GTGCTGCGTGATGACTTTAGTATCCTGGGGAATCCTATGCTAGAGGAGGAAAGGCTTTTGTTTGTTTGATTGCTTTTGTGATGACAAATAGAGTGTGACCATGAGAAGGATGTATGTTCTTACTTGGATTGAGAATGGTGATATATGATTGTAAGTTGCACCTGTCTTTTGTCTACTATCTATCCATCATCCATCTATCTATTCATCTGTCCATCCTTCCCATAATAATCAGCCCCTCTACTATTTTTTAGTTCCTATGTTGTTATTTTCTAAATTTGAATACATAATTTGAAGAAATTGAGAACTTTGTGTTTACCACATATAAGATGTTTAGATCCTTGGGTCTAACTTTTGTAAAAGTCTTTGATTCCTTCTTCAAATCGTTGTTTTGAAAACAAAATGAGAAGTGTGTCTTCCTTCTTTTCCTTTACAGGCACTTTACGGCACAAATATTTATTGAGCTTCCAACAATATGACAAACATGATACTAGGCAGTGGGAATACAAAGGAGAATGAAATGCTAATGCATCTTCCTACGACTTTTCTAGTATAAACTTGTCTTTTAATTGGGAGGTGTTATGCAAATATGCGGAAGATGATGAGAGTGTAATGATGCTCACACTTGCAATTCAGCTCAATTCTTGTGCAGCCCGGCTATGATTTCTGAAACTGAAGACTTAGTGTGAAAGGCTTTGATCACCATTGCACATCTGGTACTTTGTGCCCCTCCAGGCTACAATGAGTGGGAAGAGGGGCTGGGAATTCATCTGATCATACAGGTCTCGGATGCTGGCCTGAACTTAAGAATCAGAATTGAGCTGGGTGCACTAGTGCACACCTGTAATCCCAGACACTCAGGAGGCTGAGACAGGAGGTTCGCGAGTTCAAACTAGCCTTGGCAACTTGGCAAGGTCCTAAACAACTCAGTGAGACCATGTCTCTAAATAAAATACAAAAAAGGGGCTGGGGATGTGGCTCAGTGGTAGAGTGCCCCTGAGTACCACACATACGAATACACACACACACACACACACACACAATCAGAATTGAGACTGCTTTGTAAGTTAGTGTGTTAGTTTTCTCTCTGACTTCCTCTTTCTCTTTGCTTCCATGATGTTTGTTAGTAAATACTTACCAACCATTGTGATATTACTAAAAAAAAACAAAAGAACAAACAAAAAGCATTATTATGTCATTAGCAAGCTCCTTTCTGAAATCTCTCTCTTTATGGTCTTGTGTCTCTTTTATAGGAAAATTCAAATTCTATATCTTGGTCTCACGATTGCATAGTCTGGTGCCATCTTACCTCATTTGTAGTTTCTCTAGAATGAGATCTTTATTAACCATTTTCTAAGTAAAATTTCTATGTGTTGTCAGAGCCCCTGTTTTTTCTATGTTGTAGCTCCTAGGGCATGCACTTAAATGTTGAACTCTAAAACGTGCTGATAAGATTGCTTCTTTTTAGAATTGTAATGCACTCATTAATAATGATAACAATTATTATTGTTATTATTATTATTATTATTACTATTGAAGAGAGATCAGAAGAATAAAGCAAGCAGATTAGGAAAAGAGAGGAAGTGAGGGAAAAGGAAGGTACTAGGGAATAATATTGATCAAATCATGTTTTATATATATGTATATGCCATATATATGGCATAATAAAACACACCATTGTATAATTATAATGCACTGATTTAAGAAAAATGCTACTTGTTGATAGAGCATTCTTTTGCAAAAACCTCTGAATCTCAATCATTTCATGGGTATAATGGGGAAATGGTCTCAGTATTATTATGAGAATACATATATGTATATACAAAATGTTTACTAGACATTAGTCAATACATAATCACCAGCAGCATAACTATGCATCCCCTAAAATTTCTATTTGTATTTCTTTCTCATAAAACTATGTGTCTTTGAGAACAGAGACCATGTCAAGTTGCTTGATACTGAACCAAAACCCCTAAGATTATAGAAGGACAAGGAGTGCTCTTTACTTGCTTACTAAGGAATAGATGAGGTCTTCTGGTACCACAGCCAGCTCAAGGGTTCTCCCCTATCTAGGATGATGTGCTCATGGTCTTAGGCTGCTCTATCTAATTAGCAGAGGCATCCTTTGGGAGAGACAGAGCTCACTCTCCAGATGATGTGCAGTGTGTGAACATTCCAAGCCTTGGGGTGTATTTGGCTTCACACTCTCACAGAGAGAAAGAGAGAGTGAGAACGAGAGAGAAAGAGAGAGAGAGAGAGAGAGAGAGAGAGAGAGTCCTTGCATGGGGTAAACTGACAGTGACAATGTTGCTGCATTGAAGTGAGCAGGTCTGTCAGAAATGTGAAGATCAACAAACAGCAAAAGTAACAGCCCATAAGTAGGTACCTCAAATACTTTGGAGGGCCAGACTTATGGGCCTTTGCTGTCTCTGTGTATGGCTATTTTTTAACACCCATAATCTTTTCTTAGTAATTTCAAATCTGTTACCTGAACAACAATTTGTGTGTGTGTTTGTGTGTGTGTGTGTGTGTGTGTGAGAGAGAGAGAGAGAGAGAGAGAGAGAGAGAGAGAGAGGATGAAAGAATGAATACAGAAATGCAATATTCTCTACCAAAGCTATTATTAGCCTAGAGATCTAGATTTTATCATGATGAGTTAAAAATGAGTTTCTGGTGAGCAGGGGAAGAGGATGCATACAATATTTACCAAGTAAAAATTTTGTTTGGATTACTGTATGTATAATAGCTGTTTTTCAATAGAGTTTTTTTTTTTTACTCCATTACAACAAGTAGTTTTAAATGTTTATGTGGAATTGAACATGTTTTTGGAATAGAACATGTTTTGAAATCAAGATGGTTTCAGTTACTAAACTCTCAATGTGGCCCACTGCCTTGTTTTAATACGTTTCAAGTAGATGGATAGTATCGGAGTCTAAGATCAATTGTGCAGGGTAAATGTCTTTTCCGTATATTGTAGCCAAAAAATAAACTGAAATTCTAATAAATATGCATTTATTCGTAAATGTATAAATAAGTTCATGTAGTTAGAACTGAATCTCACTTTTGTCTTTTATTCTTTCCAAAATTTGTGCTTTCCTTCTTTCTCTTTAGTTATTTTTAAACCAAAGAAACATCAAAATCTTAGATTATAACACAATTTACTAATCAGAGGTTATTGGTAGTTAGAAAGAAAACATGGTACAAACAAGTAACAATAAAACCAATTTGAATGGCTTATTTGTTAATTAGCAAAAATTTGTGGACAAGAATGACACATTCCAATATCTCTTTGTGTTCCAAAAATGGCTTGTACATTAGTGGAAGTTTCCATGAATGATATATTATTCAAATTTCCTTTTTTTAATAAAAATGCTAATGGAAATGTTAAAATGCACATAAATTAAAATGATCATAAATTAGGATTAATATCACATTAATGAATTATAATCCCACATTCATTAAGATAAAGTGGCATTTCAATATTTGTTCTTGTTCATAAATTTAATACAATAAATGAAAGGGATACACTTTGAGATTCAATAAATATTTGATGGAATCTTATGCTTTAACTTTTTAAAATATTCAAAAGTAAAGTAGGAAATCGAGATGCATTTGGATTCTTTGTTGCTCTTTTATGTCTTTTTTATAACCTTTTCTTTTCACTTATTGAAGCACTAAATACAATTCAAATTAGTGAGGAAAGTGATAGAGCCAGTTATGAATAAAAGGGATTCCTGGGAAAGATCAGTGTCTTTTGAATTTCTAGGAGTTTCTTTTTTTTTTCCACACAAGACAGTATTTTTTTAAGCTAATATTTGAAATCTCAAAAAAAGAAAGAAAGAAAGAAAGAAAATAGAAATCTCAAGGTGCAATATTTGGAACTGTATTGGCAGTTAGGTAACTGAGTTAAATGAGAAATATGCGTGCTTAAGCAACATTTTGAAGCTCGAATTCAATAAATTAATATTTTTAAAAAAATGCAACCCAAAAGTCATATATTTTCTTCCTTTATTTTGGTGCTTTTTTATTTTTTTTTAAACAGGAGTCAAATGATATAAGGGAGAAACTACATATTAGAATTTTCCTGTCTCTCTCTTGAGAGCAAACTGTAAGGATTTTAAAACCAGAGATTCTGTTTTTCCCCCATACTTACCTGCACCTGTCTTAGGCAGAGTACTTGCCTGCTAACATAAACTCAATAAATATTTATCCAGTAAAAAAAAATTATGACATGATTTGAGATGTATTTTGATTCCTGTTAAGTCTTTTTTCCCAGAGAATTCCAGTTTGGAAAATATGCTCCCATATTTGGGCCTCAGTGCTCTTCTCTATAAAACAGAAATGATTTTCCTATAAGAAAATCCTGTAAATTGTAAGAATTATTAAAGAAAACAAAGTCTAACAAAAGCCAGTAGTTTTTAATATAATTCAAGTTCTTAGAATTGTTTGTGTTTATATAAATAGAGCAGACAAATGTGTGTCAAACTGGCACTACCATGTTCGAATACATTGGTGTGAAACTTGGATAGCTGATGACTTGCCCTGTTGTATGTCAGTGTTCTCTTATTTTATATGAAATATTAACTCAAGTTTTGTAAAATTTAGGAAATGATATTATGAAAAGTAATCCACATAGTTCTCATCACTCAGTGATTCATAAAAAGTAGCTAATAAAAATATCATTCAATGACTATTCAAAAATAAAAAAGAATACATACATTTTTGTACTTTCGTCTGAACCTTTTTATCCCTCTGCATGTGTTTGAATGTGTATTAAACAGGTCAGAACACCTTAGAAAACCTTTTCTAACCTATTTAGATGAAGTTTGTTATGTTTTATTTCTGATTGATACCTTACAAGTGTATTGACTATTTGTACAGCCACCCTTAGCAAAAATTGATGAGGTTGCTTTTCAAAAGAACCAATTTGATATATGAGCAGGAATTAACTAAAAAGTGACTTTGTAGATGGCTCCATTACTAACTTCACTTTTCATTTTTAGCTACACACAGACCTGGATCCTGGAAGTAAAAAAATCAAGTATATCCTCTCAGGTGATGGAGCTGGGACAATCTTTCAAATAAATGATGTTACTGGAGATATCCATGCTATAAAGAGACTTGACCGAGAGGAAAAGGCTGAGTACACCCTAACAGCTCAGGCAGTGGACTGGGAGACGAACAAACCTCTTGAGCCTCCTTCTGAATTTATTATTAAAGTTCAAGACATCAACGACAATGCACCTGAGTTTCTTAATGGACCTTATCATGCTACGGTGCCAGAGATGTCCATTCTGGGTATGTATGCTTCCAATTTCACAGAACTATTAAGAGTCATCTTTAAAATAGCTCCTGGCATCTGGGATGGTGTGATGCGAAATAAAAGACATTTATTACCTTCTTATCTCTAATTTGCATTTCCAAATCCCCTTTTTTGGCCTAAGTTCTGCAGCTCAATAGCTTTAGTCCCTCAGTAATAGGAACTGACTGAGGAGCAGTTTTATTAAAATATCTCTCCTTACACGACAATATTTCAATAGGCTGAATTTGTATTCCTCTCATAGACTTGTAGTTGGAGTATTGTTACTGAGGCGGATTTATCAAGATTTGTTCCAACATGCCAAGCTAATCCTATTGATATTTGCTTCATGTTTAATTATTTGTGTTTATTCACATGCAGATGCAGTGCATAGAGAAATAGGAAACCTTCTAGGTCTGTAGTCAGCCAGATATTGACTTGAGCTGGTGGGTCAAGTCTACAGTGAATTAGGCAGTCACTGTTGCCAGTGAGACTTATTTTTTGTGGCCAGCTCTTAACAAAATGATTTTAGGAGCCATGACTACCACCAATGAAAAATCTCACATTTTCTGAGCCATGGATGCATTTATTACCTTTTGTACAGATCAATATATATTTCAAAAGATAATTTTAAGCTTTTACATCCTAATTTGTATATATTATTTATTCCCAAACTTCAGCCTTGATGCAGTTACCCTCAAAGCTCAGACTTGTACAATGAAAGGAGGGATATTTTTAAATTAATTTTTTTATTTATATGTGACAGCAGAATGCATTAAAATTCTTATTACACATATAGAGCACAATTTTTCATATCTCTGGTTGTATTCAAAGTATATTCATAACAATTTGTGTCTTCATACATGTACTTTCAAAGGAGGGAGTTTTGAGCCTTCTTTGTCTAACAAAAAATAGTAGACATGAGGCAAAATCACCAAAGTCATTTTTTTGTAATGCAATCTGTATCCAAGTTTGTTTCAAATTGTGTTTAAGGATGTATTATGGATTAGGTGGTAGGTGAGCATGATTAGACAAATAAAAATCCCAGGTAGAGAATAACTAAAGGCCAGAACTAGGTACATGCAGACATGTACAGTCATTATTTCAAATCCCTAATTTGGTATCAAATAAATCCTCAGAGAAAAACCTGATCAAGAACCATGTGCCCAGGTTCTATATAGTGAGGTCAAACTACCCAGGAAAACTATCCACTTGCAGATATTAACACCTGTAAGAAATATATGATAAAGTATTCTCAACAGCATCTCTTTTTTTATTATTTTTTTTATTAGTACCAGGAATCGAACTTCATGAATGTTTAACTACTGAGTCACATCTCCAACTCTTTTTTTATATTTGATTTAGAGATAAGATCTCACTGAGTTGTGTACAGGGGCTTGTTGCTGAGGCTGGCTTTGAATTTTGCAGTCCTCCCTGCCTCAGCCTCCTGAGCCATTGAGATTACAGGTGTGCACCACCATGCCTGGCCCTCGACAGCACCTTTACTATAGATACAAATAAAGGCAAAGTATTGATTGTGATATTCAAGAATAGATTTTGGTGCCCATTATCATGTATAAAAAGAATTTATTTGCCTTCTCAATGTAGTCTCAACATTTTAAGATATTTTAGCAATTCAGTGTGATGTTACCACTCCTTTATCTGCTCTATACATCATTCCCTTATTTTGTCACTTAATGCTTAGGATTACTTTGTTCCTCTACTTCCTTCTTCTTTTTTATGTAATTTTTTATTTATATATGACAGCAGAATGCATTACAATTCTTATTATACATATAGAGCACAATTTTTCATCTCTGGTTGTTTACATAGTATATTCACACCAATTCGTGTGTTCAAACATGTACTTTGGATAGTAATGATCATCACATTCCACCATCATTAATTACCCCATGCTCTCTCCCTTTCCCTCTCACCCCTTTGCCCTATCTAGAGTTTATCTATTCCTCCCATGCTCCTGCTCCCTATCCCACTATGAATCAGCCTCCTTAAAGAAAACATTCGGCATTTTTTGGGGGGGGATTGTCTAACTTCACTTAACATTATTTTCTCCAACACCATCCATTTACCTGCAGATGCCATGATTTTATTCTCTTTTATTGCTGAGTAATATTCCATTGTATATAAATGCCACTTTTTAAAATCCATTCATCTATTGAAGGGCATCTAGGTTGGTTCCACAATTTAGCTATTGTGAATTGTGCTGCTATAAACATTGATGTGGCTGTGTCCCTGTAGTATGCTGTTTTTAAGTCCTTTGGGTATAGACTGAGGAGAGGGACAGCTGGGTCAAATGGTGGTTCCAGTTCCTTCTTTTTATTCCTTTCTCTCTCCTTTTTTCTCTTCTCTTTCTCCCTGTCTGCCTCCAGTTTCTTTTCCTTTTCCCTCCCTTCTTCTCTCCTTTCCTCCATTATCTCCCTTGGTTAGTTCATGTCTTTGGATATTTGTTCCATGTGAATGGTTTTAAAATTATATCCCCTGCCCCGTCTGCCTTCTTAGGCCAGGGACCCTGTTATCAATTGCTTCCTGAACATTTTCACCTGAATGTCCCAAGGACAGCTTGAACTCCATATTAAAAATCAAATCCTATTACTTCTTTTTATGAAATTATTTTTTGTGCTTCCTAATTCCTCTGACTTTATCACTGATCCCAATATACTCCAAAATCCTCTGTACAAAAGGTACAATATGCTGAACCTTCTCTCCCCCTTTGAGCCTCAGCCTCACCTCACCTATTGAGTCACTAATCTACTCCTTCCTGACTGCTGTGCAATCTGAACACATCATCTCATTTCACTCTTATGATTGTCTTTCTAGATTAGACTGCAATGCCTTCCTCTGGATTATCTCAGTAACCTACCAAAGAGTATCCTTGATTCTGAATTGGTTCCTTCTTCAGTAATCTATGTATTTATGCTGGAAAATAAACAAAAACTCCCTTAAATTCTGTTGTGTTTGTTTTCATAGAAAAATAATTCTCAGGCTCCTTAGCCAGAAGGACTTTGGATGGCTTTGTTTCATTTATTCTCTTTCTTCTTACCTATCGACAATATAACCTTGGTAGATATATAACCACTGCAGCAGCAAATAAGAAGTGATTTCAGGTCTTCATATTTTACCCATATATTTCTCCTTCCAAGACTCTACTTTATCTATCTCTTATGCAAGGAATTCTATTTTTATTTATTTTTCATCTCCTCAAAATGGAGTTGTTTCTCTATGGCTAGCTGAATTGACACATTTTTAGGGAAACATAACTTCCTAGCAAGACTTTACCTTTCCACCATCAGCACCTCCACAAAAAAAAAAAAAAAAAAAAAAAAAAAAAGGACAAACACACACACACACACACCAGAACAAAAATTTCCATCTTCGAAACTCCTTTTGTATTCTGACATGGCAAAAAGGAGCTGAGAAACATTATGTAACATTTCTTTTTGTCTTTTTGTTTTGGTCTATTCATTTAGGTCAGAGAACTTGCCTAAGTCCTCTTCTTATTAAGATTTCAATAAAAGTGTTTTAAAAAATTACTGGTACCTCCAGTGCATGCAGCACACATTACCTTTTTTAAAAATTCTTTTTTTTTTTTTTTTGGTGCTGGGGATTGAACTCACAACTTCATGCAAGCTAGGTAAGTACTCTACCACTGAACTACAGCCTCTAGCCCCAACACACTTTATATTAATTACTGGTAAACGGTGAACAGGGAAGCTCTTATTTTTACTTCATTTTTATGATTTCTCCATCTTAATTCCAACTCTGTTGGCTATGAATGTGCTACAGGCTACCTTTTCTGTGTATCTAAGTCATGTTCCTGATAGATTTGTTGAGACAGAAAACCTCAGAAACTTCCACAAACATTAAGACCATTTTCAGCTAAGAAAAGGTCTTTAAAGATTATTAGCTACAGAATGCAATGTGTATACACACACACACACACACACACACATGTGTTAAATGCTTTGTCTTCAACATGTCTTCCAAAACCTACATAGAATCCATTTTAGTTGCAAGAAAAGAATTTGAATCCTGACTCCTTCCCTGATTATCAGGTTGACTTTGAGATCAGGAAGGTGAAATTACTTCCTATTTTCCTTAGCTGTAATGCAAGGACAATAATTTCTATCCTGCTTTCACTGTGTGAGGATTGCATGATAAAACACAAGGTAAAGGAATGCCATAAAGTAAATAAGTGTTCCATAATTGGTTGTTGTTATGGCTTTTGAAATTATTTTTATTAATCTGTTCCCCATCTTACCTTCGTACCTTCCCTTATGTATTGATTTTAAGCCCTGGGTGTCTGGTTTCTCTTTGACTCCAGCCTCTCTGGTTAAAGGGAGCAGAGGCAGCTACACTATTTTATTGTCAAGTGTGAATTATTCCCTTCATTTCTCATCAAGGTGAATATCATGATGAAGGTCAGCTACTATCTCCTTCCTCTCCCCATCACCACTGTTCTCTCTCAGCCTGTTTCTTCCCTCCCCTCTTTCCTTCTTTCATTTTTCTTCCTTTGCTACTGCAGAAGTGCCAGCACCTGCACCTGTAAGCCCTGAGGAATGCCAGCCAGGACTGAGGGAATTCATTGTGCAGAAAGTGAAAAATAAAATTCTAATTGAGAAATTTACCAATATTAAATTGAAATGAATATGATGTTCAAGAACTGTCTTCTAGTTGACAAGCTGTCAAGACAAAACACACATATACATTTGCCCAAATGGCAGCCAAATTAATTTAGAAATATCTTATTAGGAAGCAGGAGACATGGTTCTTTTATATTCTACTGTGAATTTCAGAAGTTGATGAGAATTCACTTTTACAGCAATACTGCATAAAGAAAGACATGTGAGCTTGTCTGATTGTAACTGTGGATACCAAACTAGCAATGCTAAAGTTGGTTTTTCAGTGGAAATTTGCCCACACTTATTGTTTCAAACAGTTTATGTATTTTTAATGTTATTGTGTGATTGTGAGGGATGTT